GCTGACATTTTGGGCCTAGACCCTTCTTCAGAAAAAGGGTCTAGGCCTGAAACGTCAGCCTTCCTGCTCCTCTGATGCTGCTTGGCCTGCTGTGTTCATCCTGCTCTACACCTTGTTATCTCTTAATCAAATGGGCTGCTCGGTCCTGGGTGGTGCTGACCTTCTTGAGTGTTGTTGGAGCTACAGGCTCCAGGCAGGTAGGGTATATTCCTTCTCAGTCCTAAACTTGTGTCTTGTAGATGGTGGACAGACTTTAAGAAGCCAAGATGTGAGTTACTTGTCATATAATTCCCAGCCTTTGACCTGCTCTTGTAGCGACAGTATTTACATGGCTAGTGCAGTTCAGTTTCTAGTCAATGAAAACCCCAGGAGATTGATAGTGGCAGATTCAGCAACAGCAAAGCCATTAAATACCAAGGAGTGTGGGCTTGATTCTCCCTTGTTGGAGATGGTCATTGCCTGGAACTTAAGTGATTTGAATGTTATTTGTCTCTTGTCAGCCTAAGCCCGAATATTATACAGGTCTTGTGATATGTGGACATGGACCACTTCAGTATGAGGAGTGGCAAAGAGTGCAGAACATTGTGTAATCACCAGCAATTCATCTCCCACTTCTGCTCATGTGATGGAGGAAAGCCCATTCAGACCACTGTGCCAATGCCAGGTCTTTGAAAAAGAGATTTATCCAATTAGCCCTACCACTTCTGAACAATCCTTCAAACTTTCTCTTACAGTAAACCCAAGACAGATTCTTTCAAGAATAATGTGAAAGCATTGCACAAATTTTTAAATGTTTATGGCATAAAGTTGTACTCCTTAAATTAATGATTAGTTCTAAACACTGGAATCCATCAAACACCTCAATGTTACCTACAGAATCAGCCCATTTCCAATACTGAGTGGAGGTAGCTTCAATTGAAGCACTCAAGATGACAGCGGTGATTATTTGGATAGAAATGATGTGCTGGTACATAGAGAAAAGGCAGGAGACTGACACTGAGTAATAGAATCACTGCAGGCACAATGGGTCAAATGGCCTGTTTCCATGCCATAACAATTCTGTGATTTAATTCAAGTCCAGAGCACTATCAGTCTGTGAAGAGATCCCTTGTACAGGTTATTATCATGGTCAGGATAGGTTACGCTACCTAATACACAATCAACAGAATTAAATCAGAAAGCAGCACTTATTCTGTGTGAACAGACTGTCTGACAGCCAGACAAGTGCATCGAAAACAAAAGACATACTGACAGCTACACTGGACTCAAAAGTATTTGACATGACCAAATGTTGTATTATCTCTAATGAGAAAATCTCTGGTTGTGACTTGTAGTAATGCTACAGCATTCTAATTAATGATAAATCAATCTGAAATGCTAATTCTGTTTCTCTCTCCACAGGTGCCACCAGACTTCCTGAGCATTTCCGGTTTATATTTCCGATTTGCAACATCTGCAGTACTTTACTTTTGTCAGGGGAGAATTAGCCTAGTACAAAGAGCAATGAGTGAAATGATAATTTATACTGTTATTAATTCACCTTCAAGTGAAGCCTAATGGCTTAACTATTGCTTCAGTGTCCAGATGAGGGCCTCCAGTTCACCACTTAGTCTCTTTAATTCCATTACGTCATGTTCGAATCTTGGAGAAAATCCAGTCCTTAATTTCATACGTTACTCTGCATTCATCATTGCAAATATCCAAGAGAGGTTAGTTGCATTCACATGGAACTTCCCTGTCTGAAAGCTCTAAATTTATAATGAGGAAAGAGCTAATCAGGACAGAACTGGAGACAGAAGCTTCAACACATCCACAAAAGGTCAAGGGTAAGAAAGGAGGTTCATAACCAAAAAGATCAAATCTTCAATGGTCTATTGATGTCTTATCAATGCAAAAGGAAAATCAATTTTGCTCTTGGCTTTCTATTAATTCTGATCATAAATAATCTCTTCCACAAGAGGAGGGCATGGCCTATTGGTACTATCACTGGACTGTTAATCCAGAGACCCAGATAATATTCCGGGGAGCTGGGTTCAAATCCTGCCACAGCAGATGGTGGAATCTGAATTCAATAAATATCTGGAATTAAGAGCCTAATGATGACCATGAAACCATTGTCAATTGTCAGGAAGAAAACCCATCTGGTTCACTAATGTCCCGTAGAGAAGAAAACTGCCATCCTTATCTAGTCTGGACTACATGTGATTCCAGACCCACAGCACTATGGTTGACTCTTAACTGCTCTCTCTGATGGGCAATGAGTGCTGGCCTAGCTAGCAACACCCTCATCCCATGAATGAATAACAAAAAAAGGGAGAAAAAGTCCCCTCAAGTGCATTTTTATTCATTTGATTGTGATGCTGGCTGTCTCACTGTATCCTTCCTTGGCTAAATGCCTCCTTTCACCAATGCCTCCTCTATTCAGTATTCCTCATGGAAGGATCCCTCAGTATCAAACCCTCTCTTTTATCATTTTATCAGAAAGGGTTGCCTTGGGACAGCGGGCACATGGACAACGAAAGTTGACTCAAGAGGACCGGGGGAAGATTAAGTCATAGTTTGGTATATGTTATTGCTGCTCACTGAGGTGTACACTGTCAGAGTTTGAAGAATTTAGCCAACATGACAAAAGTACTGGATTGCATGGCTTCTGTTAGGACCTCAGTTGAACGCATGGCTGGTGCAAATTTACTTTGATGAAGTTATGAAGATAACAGGCTTTGGTACTGCACAGCCTGCTCATGAGAAGAGAGATAAGCGTAACTGCAAATCTCTGGGCCAGACAGGATAATAATTTAGCCAACCAGAGAGAATACAGCACACTTGATGACTACTACATTAATAGCGCAGCTCACCAACAGGATCTGAACAGTGGATCACTTAATGGGAGCAAGGACCCTTCCTAGTTATTACATCATTTACCTGCGGTCAACAAGAGTTTTGGCACAGTAATATCCTGGGTTAGGAGTGGTCAAATGTTTGATATATCCAGCACCAGGTGGAAATATAGTCCACTATTAATTAATTGACACATAGATGCCTCTGAAAATCCCTTGCCTTGTTGGAAAGCTTGCCAAATAAACAGCAAAATGCTAATAGAGTGATGGAATACTCCCCACTTGCCCAGATGAGTACAGCTCCAACAACATTAGA